AATTTATGCAGTAGCCACATCACTCACTCATAGCTTTAATGCCATTCGCTCACAAAGTAGAATTTTTGCTCACAACACTCCACACGACCTCCCAGAGTTGTTGTGGTGAGAATAAAATGGAGGAGGGGAGACCAGTGTTCTAAGTTGCTTTAGGGAGAAAAGTGTCATCTAGAGATCTAAATAAATAAATAGACTAGAAGAGTTGAGAGCAGAGGAGATATCTGGAGATGGGGCTACACCATGTATTGCAACAGAATGGTATGATCTGTCAGTCTATGAAACCTAAGATAAATTATCTAATAGCAGCAAAGTAATTGACAGCTGCTCACTTTTATGCACTCCTGTCAAATTCTCAACAAGGAGTAGAACACTGTTGAGGGAAACCTGTCTAATTTTTCATGTCTGATCTGTAAACAGACATTTTAAAAAGGTAAATCATTGCAAGGGAACAAGCTAATAAGATTTCAGTTGTGTAGACAGTTTTCAGGCCCTGACCTGGATAGCCCAGGCTAGCTGGATCTCTCCAGATCTCATGGAGCTAAGCAGGGTCCTCCCTGGATAGTATTTGGATGGGAGACTTCCAAGGAATACCAGGGTCATGACACAGAGGCAGGCGATGGAATCTCTGGACATCTCTGGCCTTGAAAACTCTACAGGGTCATCGTAAGTCGGCTGTGACTTGACACCACATACCACCACCACCAGATAGTTTGGGAGGATATTCTAACTGGGAAAGTTTACTCATGTAATTCTCCTACACTTACTTTATAGCCCAAGTTCCTTATGAACCTTCCATTACTCCGTCTTTATTTCTGTGTGACGAACCTTCTTAGGTGTTTATTGTTGCGTGCATATATATATATATACACACACACACACACACATATATATACATATATACACACACACATATATATATATACACACATATATACACACACAGATATATATATATATATACACATACACACACACACACACACACACACTATCTTCAAAAGTAAAAAAAGGATCTAGGTGATCACCAAGTGGAGGATTCCTGGGGGGGGGCAGAAAGGGATGCCAGCCCCTCCCCCCTGCTGCCAACCTCCCCAAGAGCACATATGTTGGAATGATTCTTTTAAAAAATCTGGCAGTTTTACCGATGAACAAAATTATGAGGTAGCTAGATCAGACTCTGTGTGGTTACCATCCTCAAGGTGGGGCCTGGAGTTCTCCTAGAATAACAACTTATCTCCAGACTACAGAGATCAGTTCTCCCGGAGAAAATGGCAGCTTCAGAATGTGGACTCTATGGTGTATCATAGAGTCTGAGAGAAATGGAATTTCTAGAGTGGTATCACATCCCTACTGACTGAGCTCCTTCCCTTCCCCAAGCTCCGCCCTCCCCAGGCACAACCCCCCCAAACTCCATGAATTTTCCAACCCAGAGTTATAAACCATATTGTAGTTTCATATTTCTTCCAGACGTCTGCCCCGACTTGTGCCTTCTCTTTCTCCAGCCCAATGTAAGTGCATGCCTCTTAAAATTGTTTCCCTCAAGATATTGCTGGTCTGCATCTTACAGCATTTAAAAAATAAATAAGTAGAGCAACTACAGCAAAAGCTCAGCTATGCCAATAGTCTGATATTCAGATTCGCTGTTTACCTAACCCTCTGCCTCTTTCCACACAAACAACAAAAAGTGGTAAGCAAAACAGAAGGTGCCTTTGTATTAAAAATCCCCTGCCTCTGGTAAAATAGATGTTCGGTGGGAAAAGATAATAGTCTTGTATTCTCCTTGATATGCTAGTTTTATACATGCAGGGAAGTTCCCACCCACACCCACCCAGGGAAGCATTTGATCATGCAATCCCATTTTCAGTCTAAAGTAGTCAATATTATCATTTTATACTCTGGAAGACAAATGTGGGCTCATCCGTGGATACTTAAATTCATGGACTGGGCCCATACTAATTAAAAACAGATTGTTCTGCAAACCTGGGTGGACTCCCTAGGTTGGCCAAAAAAATCTGAAAACATTTTTAAATGTTTTAAGCCCCCCCCTCCCCCCCCCCAGCATTTTCTGTGCAGGTATAGTCAACACAACTATCTACTACCCTTCTCTCGGTGAGCCTGGTGGTGCAGACATCAGGACATAGTGTGGGGGACAGGGAGTCTCAGCATGGCAGTGAAGGCCAGGAGTCACACTGGGCTTGCCTGCATCAGCAGCTGCGACGGGCCAAAAGCCCGTCCCCCCCACAGCAGGCCCAAAGACAGAGGGCAGGAGCAGCACAGAGCCTGGGAGTGGTGGCAGCAATGATGGTGGGGGGGGGAGCCACAGTAGCCACAAAGGCTGGGAGCCTTGCCGGGCCTGGAATTAATGGCAATAAGCCCAGTGGTGGATGCCAGGAACTGCACCAAGCCTGGTGGTGATGGGAAAGGGGGTCTGGCTGGGAGCCCCAGCAGTAGTAACGGTATGAGCGAGAAAGAAGCTAAAAGGAGGAAGGGATCCCCTCAGAGTATCACAGGTCCTGACTTGTATATTCTAATTCTCAACCTGACCCAAACTGAGGATACTTTGATCTGGAGACTGGGGCTGTGAACAAACAAGACAGATCTTTCTACAGACCTTGAAAACACCCAGGTTTACAGGAAAACCTGAAATCTAAAAAATATACATTTTGGAGTGGTGTGTTGAAAAACCCAAAATGATAAATGTAGTACCTACAGTTTTAAGAAATGAATGCCCTCTGTGGCCATTGTTAGGCAACCACAACAGTTTTACAAGCATTCCACACCTGGTATCTGTCAGTGAACAGCAGGGGGAGGTGCAGGGCGTTTTCCAAGACCATTTTTCCCTTTGAGGGAGTACTCATTGGAGCCAGGCCTGGCGGCAACCGCTATAAAACTTATTACCCACCTTGTATGATTCACCTAGGCCTGGCTGCTTGCTACTGTTGAACAGTAGCCATCGTATGAAAGCCAGTGCTGCACGGTCCTTAGAGCTTCAGACTAGGGTCTGGGAAACAGAAGTTAAAATTACAGGTCTGCCATGAAAACTCACTAGGTGACCTTGGACCAGCCATGTACTTTCAGCCTAACCTACCTCACACAGTTGTTGTGTGGATAAAATAGAGAGAATAATGTAAGTTGTTTTGGTCCCTACTGTGGTGAAAGGTGGAAGATAAATTAATAAACATAGCTGAAGATGGAAGCAGATAAATAGGTTGGTGAATGGCTGAGGAAGAAATTAGGCAAATAAAGGGGAGTGGATATGGGGGTTGCCAGAAAGAGGAAATAGTGTGGGGAGGGGAATATAGGGCAAAGTGAGGTGCCCCTGCAAGTCATTGTAGGTTCCCTACCATGCAAGTGGACCTAGCCTAGCAACTAACACCACACAACCGGGCCATAGTTTTCCCAAGTACAGATTGCTTGGGGTGGGGTGTGTGGAGATGTGGAGCAGATAAAAGTAGGTTGGCTGTTGGGTGTGAAGGAAATAAGGAAGCAGAAAGGGGCTACAGGGGCTTTCAGGGAAGGAAAAGAAAATAGTGCAGGAAGGGAAAATGAGATATCCCCCATAAGTCCTTGAGGCTCCCCTGCTTGTGGAATACCTATGCATCCTTTGTAACAGGTATTTTCATGGGTTAGTACTATGAATATAAAGATGACAGGACTTTGCCATCCTGGGATAAATGCCCATGAAATGAAGCTAAGAATCCCCTCAAAGAGGCAGAACCACTGTGTGTGTGTAAGGTGCCATCAAGTAGTAAACTTATGGTGACCCCATTGGGTTTCCAAGGCAAGTGCCTACACACGTGGTTTGCCATTGCCTTTATCCGCAAAGTCCTACTTGGTGGTCTCCTGTCCAAGTACCAGCCCTGATTCACTTCTGAGATCTGACAAGATCAAGGTATACTACACCATTCCACATCTCCTGAAGAACCACTGGTTGACTATCATTCACATTTTAAATGGCCGAAATAGCGAGGCTTTCTGTAACCTCATCTTTTAAGGGCTCCCACACAGAACATGATTGGTTTCAATTTTATTTCCAGCCTTCTGAGAGCCTTCTTGATATGTCACTAAAGTCTCGTGAAGAGAGTTAAAAGTGGTTTAATATAAATTCCTTTCCATGGGGAACTGGAGTTCTGTGATAAAGATCCTTGGAATGCATGGAGCTGCCTTATACTGAACAAGACCATTGCTCCACCTAGGTCAGTATTGTCTTCTCAGACCAGCAGCAGCTCTCCAGGTTCTCAGGCAGAAGTCCTTCACACGTACCTACTGCATGGTTCTTTTAACCAGAGATCCCATGGATTGAACCTGGGACCTTCTGAATGCCAAGCAGATGCTCTACCAGTGGACGGCTTCAAAAGGGAATTAGATAAGCATATGGAGCAGAGGTCCATCAGTGGCTATTAGCCACAAGGTATAGATAGGGACTCTGGGGAAAGTGATGCTCTGTCTTCTTGGTGCTTGGGGGGGGGGTCAACAGTGGGAGGGCTTCTAATGTCCTGGCCCCACTGATGGACCTCCTGATGGCACTGGTATTTCTGGCCACTGTGTGACACACAGTGTTGGACTGGATGGGCTTTTGGCCTGATCCAACATTGGCGTCTCTTATGTTCTTATCCACAGCCCTTCCCTTTTAGACAATGCACCAGTGCTTGATATTAATGATAGTGTGGGACAGCTAACCTGGAGCCACTTTGAATGGCCAACTTGAAACATCTTAAGGGATCAGGGGCTCTCCCAGTGACTGTTCTCTTATAGCAGCCAAGTGATGAGTCACTTTCAGAGATTTCTTCCATTATCTTCACTGAAATTTCATTCATCTGAATAGGCTGGCAACCTAAACCACATAATTTAACCAGGTATACTTAATGGCGATATGTTGCTTGCACGATGACAGGGAAGCTCAACTCTTAACAGCAGACCCTGCATTTTTCTCTGGCACCATTTGTCTTTCTAGTTCAAATAAAAATAATTACAGTGATCTTACTCCACATTAACTTGTCGGTTTTATTAAACTGGCGGGTTGCAAAACAGTATAAAATGGAGAAGTGTCTTTGGGGGGAAAGAGCATTCTATACCAGTAGATTTAACGTAATACGTAAATCATTGGTGATTTCTTATTTTAAAGCTTTTTACAAAAATTATGCCACATATCTGTATAAATGCATATAGAACTTCAGCAATATATACAAACTAATCTTTACACATATACATAAATGTATTTTACAAATAATAAATAGTAATATTTAAGGCCAGTTACATGTTCTCACATATTTTTTTAAAAACCCTTCACCATTTGGTGACCAAGTGCTGTTTATATTTCACCTTGTAATTAAAATGTACAGTTCGTATCACATCTTATTTTGAAACGAAAACCTCAGGAAAACGGTAGCAAGTCAGAATTTTTACAAAAATAAACTATAGTTCATTCTTTCAGTGCACGGTAATCTAACTATAAACTTATCCAGCCTCAAACACAGTTGGGATATATTAAAGCATTCTTGATCACTGTCCATTTCTTCCACTGGAAGGATGCACCTTCCCTTGCGGTACACTGATTTTAATGATTTGCATTTTTGTGTGTGTACACAATTTGTGATTACTTTTTGCTAAAGCCACTGATGTTGACAGACTTCAAAACGAATTCTAAATAATTCATCAAACAGGCCAATATAATTGAAATATGGGTGTGCTTGTTTCGTAATCCAGATACATTTGCACAAATATACCTTCCAGTACTTGCTTACTTATATGATTTGTATTGTGATTCTCTTTGCAACTGTTTGTTTTTAATGAAGACTAGGGAATTATTTTCAGAACACTAGTAAGTTCTTCTAGCAAGAGCAGTGGGTAATGCCTCTTGCTTGTGTTCATAGCTTCTTAATTCAATGGTATTATGTCTGCATATATTCTGAACAAATGTACAGATAAAGCATTCTACTATTGTTTGCATTACTACAGACAAATAAAGTGATTTCAGGTTCTGCCATTTTTCTCATTGCTGACCAATAAATACTAATTATTCTCAAAATCAGGAATACCAGCATCAAAGAAGAGCCACTGTTCATTTGCAGCTGGAGATATAGAAGTAATAGTGAAGGTAAGCGTGATAAGAGACTGTGTAGTACATTTGTAACAGTTCCCACTATTTGACACTGGTAACGGAAAATCTGTTCCTGTAGTCTTTACAGACTGTTGTTTCTTGCTCCTTTTTAGCTGATAAAGCATTGCAATAATTGCATGTGCTTTTATATAAATGAAATATGAGCAAATAATTTGTTACCATATAAAGAGTACAAATTTATAAGTGACGGGAGATGTTGACTGAATTTAACCTGGAACCTTCAAAGTCCACAAACATTCTCTCTCTGTTTGCTCACTCCTATCTAGATTTCTGGCAAGCGCCTCATGCTACTAGAAGCATGATTATGACATAGATAGATTTCCCCATTCCTTTGATCAATTTAATAGAAGCCGTTGAACTTCAGACATCAAAGGATGTAAAAACTCAAATCAGCGGAACGGGATGTTCTTCAATAACAGAACTGTCCAATGATACAATGTTTCAGAGCTCTAGCCAGATTAAACACAGTCCAGACACATGCCCAAATATATAACTTTTAAACAAATTCTATGGATTTTTCATAAAAATCAGGAAACTTTTATTACAACATAGCATTATAAGTTAAATTAGTTCCCAGTGCCATGCCTGTCTTTGTTCGGGAGAGGCTTCTCATCTAGTTCATAAACTTGGCCAGTGAACTGTTTTGTGTCCTGCAACGACCCTAAAAACTACCAGCTCCAGGCCCGAGAATCCACGTGTGGGTGGCAGACTTCAGCATGAATTTCAACTGCTGGATCGAGAGTGCATCAGCTGCACATCTGAACATGGATGTTGTCCAGCCGTGCTGCAGTCCTTTCAATCAGATATCCAAGATGGTATGTGTACTGCCAGGTATGTTCTTAGGGGATAACTAGCCACATGAGCCTTGAGTTGAACGATGAAAGTCTCCTAGAGTAACTTAGAATGTTGACAGTATCACAGATTACTGATAAATTCTGTATTTCAAGGCCACAGTGGCAGTGGGGGGTTTCCCCTCTCCTCCCAAAACTGATCTTCGGTTCACTTGTTATTCGTCAAAGAACTCAAGCACTGATTTTTCTAGAAAGAAAACAAACATGCACACGTTTAGAATCCCAGTAGCCAACAGTGCTTTGTGTAAGATATTAGACTGATGTGACTGGGCTGTCTACAAGGAACTGCTCTTCTATGAAGGGGGGTTAGAGATCTCTAATAGATAGTTTTCAATGTCTTGACAAGCTACAGTTCCCAACAGTCATGATAGTTAGAAGGGTACAATTCTGTATTACAGATCTGTCCCTAATGCTCTGCTGTCAGAGCATATATGATAAAATATAACAGACTGCCCCCCCCCACCAAACACTGCCATAAAAACACCTTCCCCTGATTTTTTGAGCTTTGTGAGCACAATGTCTGCAACAGAAGCAAAGCATTCTGGGGACAGAGTGTTAGGGGCAGAACAACATGTCACACTGGCAAATGTGTGATTGTTGGTTAATACAAGTGCAGAGGCACAGGGAGAGCATCTGCAGGAGACAATAAGATGGAAGGGATACTTAAGCATTCCTATGCCTACCAGTTCTGTCCTGCACATATGCGCGCGCGCACACACACACACAGAGCAGCTGTCTCCTGCAACCAAGGCTTCTTTTGGACTTGAAATTCAGATGAAGAGTAGTTAAAAATTGGATTAGATCAGGGGTGGCCAAACTTGCTTAACATAAAAGCCATACAGAATAAACGTCAGATGTTTGAGAGCCACAAAACTTTCTCTCTTATATATAAAAGCCGAATGGTGGTGGCACTTCTCTAGAACATTCCACACGCTCCGGAATTGGTTGGCGCCCTGGTGTGTCACTCAGAATCTGTCCCTATCCACTGGCTGCATTGCTTGAGTCTTGCCTCCAACATTTTAAACAGTTTGCTGTTCCTTTCCCCCCCATAGCCAGTCAGAACACAGAGGTTATTTGCATATGCAGCCTCATTGGCCTTTGCCTCGGAACACAGAGGTCGTTTGCATATGTGACTTGATTGGCTTTTGCCTCTAACATTCTAAACAGTTTGCTGTTCTGAGGTAAAATGTGTCCAATCTCCAGGTGAGGGCTGGAGATCACTCAGAATTACAACTGCTTTCCAGATGGCAGAGATCAGTTTCCCTGGAGAAAATGGTGGGCTCTGTATCCTTATATGCTGCTGAGGTGGCCCCCGTATGACAGCCAATGTGACGTAGCAGTCAGGGCTTCAGAGCAGGGGAGAGGCTGCAGGTGTGTTGGGGATGGAAAGATGAAGAGTGAGGGGAAAATAAAGGTAGGTTGATTATCGGCTGGGAAGGAGATATGGTTGCCAACTCCAGGTGGGAAATTCCTGGAGATGTGAGGGATGGAGCCTGGAGAGGGTGAGGTTTCAGGTGTGGAACCTCGGACAGGTACAAAGCCATAGACTCTATCCTCCAAACCAACAATTCCCTTCTGGGGAACCATCGTTGCCAATCTCCAGGTGAGGGCTGGAGATCACTCAAAATTACAACTGTTCTTTAGGTAGCAGAGATCAGTTCCTCTGGAGAAAATGGTGGACTCAGTGTCATTATACCCTGCTGAGGTCACCACAGCAAATTGACACTGAGTATCCAAGGCCGGGGCACCCGCCCAGAGCCTCTTTCTAGGCTCACTGTATTTATTTCCACAACAGGCCTTTTTTTCCTAATGAACAAATATTACACACGTTTTTAATGGAAAATATGCAAATTTGGTTTTTATTAACATTAGACTGTGTGAAAGAGCCGCATGCAGCTCCCGAGCTGCAGTTTGACCACCCGTGGTCTAGATAATTGCTCGAGCCAGAATAATGACATGAGGGAGATGTAAGCCCTCCTTCCCTGCACACCATGGTCCCAATCCAAAACAGGCCTCTGCACATCTGGGAATTCGGGAACTCCCAGACCATGTCTATCAACCCAAACCAGGGATCAGAGCCTTGTGTAGTTAGGCCCTCATTGCTCAGTTCCGTTGTATGCAGCACCTACAATTCTTACCATGAATTTTCTTTGATAGCATTTTTCCCAAGGCATCTCACAAATTCTGCGACTCCTTCCCCTTTCTTGAGATGAGAAATTCCATTTCGGGAGCAGAACACCAACCTACACAGTACACAAAGAATTAATGGTGAGATATGCTGGAGAAGCTATTAAAACACAACACGAATAAGGATAGTGCTTTATCATTAATTAGTCTGTCTCTTGAAAAGTGACATTTTAAGAATGATTGCTTGTACCAAGGCTGTGACAGACAACCGTATTTGTAAAGTTTATTTACAAAGCAGATGGGTGCTTAGTAAACACATTCAGGAGCCTAAGACCAAAACTTGTCCAAGTTGTCTACAGTGTTAACTTTGTTCTTTTCATCTTAAGTTAACTGTTCTTTCATTCTGGAAGAAGAATTCCTAATAATTCCAAAGTGTGTACCCAAAAAAGATTGTCCTGTAAAATGTATTCCTTGCCTATTTCATTGCTTCATTTTTCTCTAGCACCCAGTGGTAAAATCTCTCTACAGCAAACAAGAAGAAAGGAAGAAAGGAAGGATTCAAGGCCTGGGCAATGTAAATACAATAAAGAACTACTAAAAATAGAAAGGAATCAAAGTACTGAAATTTAATAAAAGTATTCACAGGGCAATTCCAATAACCATAGAACATTAATTTACAGCCTCAATTATTTCATGGCATCAAAGGTTATCCTGGGTTATCACGTTTTCCAAAAAAATCATACTAAACCATTCCCTGCAATAATGAAGCAGTTTGAGACTTTGTCATTGATGAGAGAGAGCAGCTGGGCCATCTGTATACAAGAGAAAGTTTTTGGATGCATGAAAATTTCCAAGGTATGCAACAAAAATGTGCCTTTCCTCTTTCACACCCCCAAAAGGTTTGAAAACGTAAAATACAGACAAAATAAAGCCTGGAGGTGACATGACCCTGCACAGGCTAAATTGGAAAGCAGCAGGTTGCTCCTTGCTATCATTCAGGCTAGAGGCTAATTAGGGGTGTGCAAAAAAAAAAATGCCAGTATTTTTCGGCTTCAGGTAAATCAGTAGGTGCTGTGAACCGCCTGAACCTCCAAAAACCACATGGAGTGTCGTGGGAGGTTCAAAGATACCAGTAAAGTATTCGGATTGAGGCTATATTCGGTATTCCCGAATATATTCGGGCCTGATTTACACCACTAGACGGAAAGGAGACATGTTAAAATGCCTTCTTTCTCTCTGGTAGCCCCTACAGATTTCCCTGTCAATCTCACCACCAGTCAGCTCGGAGTGAAATTGACAAGGGAAAGCCTTCCCTTCTCTAGCTGACAGGTTGTAGCTGGACAAGGGCAGGCAGGGAACCTAGGCATGTTTAAAATGACTTTCTTTCCCTCCCCAAGACTGGTGAGGGATAGAAAGGCATTTAAACATGCCCCCCTCACTTCCTTGAGTTTCTCTGCAAAAGTGGAGAGGCTCAGGGAAGAAAGAGGACATGTTTGCATGCCTGCCTTGTTTCCCCAGCCTGCCCGCCACCAGGCATGTTTAAAATGCCTTTCTTTCCCTCCCCAATCTCGTGGAGGGAAAGAAAGGCATTTAAAGGCTGCTAGGTTTTAATGAGACCTTTTTCGGTATAGCAAAATGAACCCGAAAAAAAGATGGAAAATATCAGTTTGGGGGGGGGGGGGCTCAGCTATACTTATGTGATATAGCCAAATACACACCCCTAAGGCTAATAGTTGGAAGGGAAATGTCCTCTAAGCATTGCTGGAGGTAGGTGGGTAGGAGCAAGCTACTTACCTCCTGCCACCCTAACCATAAACAATTGCCTCATAGCTCTACAAGTAGGGTTGCCAGCAGGGATGGGGATGAACCAGGAAAATCAAGGCTCGTTTCACTTCGTAGTTAACTTCACAAATCTTCCCGTTTACCAAACAGGTTTGTTCTGTGAGGTTTGTGATGTGGTAGAATACCCCCCCTGCAGGCTAGAGACTCCAAACTCGCAGTGACTCTCCAGCTGCCTTTCCTCTACCAGTCCTCCAAGATTGATGAGGATTGGATTTAGGGAGGCTGAGTTACAGCCCCCCAAAGTAGGTACCCCTAGGAAAGTACTCTCTGGGGCAATCCACAGCCACAGGTTCAGGACTGTGTTGAATGGCCCCACTACAAGCTAGAGGCATCAAACTCACAGTGGACCTCCTCGGCATGCCCCTCTACCTGCCCTCCATATTTGGTGAGGATTGGCTTGGGGGGGAGTAGCAGCCCCCGAAAGTAGGTGCCATGAACCGCCTGAACCTCAAAAACCACATGGAGAGTCGAGGGAAGGTTCAGTTCATGAATGTCTGCTCATGAACCAGGCAATTTTCATCACAAATCTACATACATGAGCCGGTTCATGCCCATACCTAGGTGCCAGCCTCCAGGTGGTGCCTGGAGATCTCCTGGAATTACAACTCCAGACTACAAGGATCAGTTCCCCTGGAGGAAATCTCAGCTTTGAAAGGTTGTCTGCATGGCATTATACCCTGCTGAAGTCCCTCCCCTGCCCCAGTTTCATCTAATACCTCTCATTAAGCATAGTGGTTTACGTCAGCCCAGCATTCTCAAAAATGCCATCTGCGGACTCTTCCATCTGCACAATGACTAGAATCAAATAGTAAAGATTTGCTTGAGTGCACTACTGCAGGCTGCCGATGGAAGGGAGGGGAGATGGCATGGTACAAGGCCCCCCTATCAGAGGGAAGACCCCGGCACATACAGAATTAGCACCTCTGAGAAGACTAAATGGAGCCATCTTTTTCATGTGCTTTCTCTCCATGTGCAGGGAGTTCATCATGCTGAAAACTGTCCACAGATGACTTTCTGTACCCCTGCCCCAAGGCCCATTCTGCAACTAGCATTCGCTCCACTGTTTTACCAAACCCACGCTGGAACAGAAATCCCCCTCTACATTGCATGCCATTTTCACTTTCTTTGATTGCTGGATTTTATCGTAGCCTCCACACTGCATGCCGGTTTCACTTCCTTTGATCTCCCGGTTTTAGGGTATTGTCTGCATAGATTTATGGCCGTTCAGGGGTGACTCTGCAGTCAGTACGGTGTTGGCCAGGGGTATCTGGATGTGGTTTTGAGCCACATCTTTTTCTGTTCCAGTGTGGGTTTGGTAAGACAACAGAGTGAATGCCAGATGCAGATTGGGCCCAAGTCTCAAGTGGTACAACCCCAGAAAATCTTCACTGTCTACCATCTGTGTAAACTGGCTTTGTTTACAACAACGAGGGCAGTTAATGCCTTTCGTGAGGGAGCATCCTGTTCTTTTTACAGCTTCCTTGACTGGAAAAGAAAATCATACTATAAACTTTCCCTCCGTCATACAGCTGCAGTGACAGGAAACTTCTTTGCGTCAGTGCAGCCATTAAAAGATCCCCTGTGTAGAAAGGAACTTGTGAGCTCCCTTCTGCTCCTTCTTTGCTACTTCCTGGTACTCAAAAACAGCAGGGCTTTTTCTAAGAACTAGCTAGGAGCATATGAGACTGCCTTATACTGCTTTGTCAGCACAAAATATTTTAAATTAAATAAACAGAGGTTCAGTGCAGTGGCCAATCTAGAGAAGCACTGTCTACTCTGACAGGCTATGCCTCTTCAAGGCCGTAGGCAAAGGCCTTTTCTAGGTCAGGTACCCGAGATCCTTTAAAAAAAGAGATAGCAGCTTTGTACTATAATTCATCTGGTGGTGACTTCTATGGGGAAAGTGCAGCATGCCCTTGGCTCAGCGGCACCCTAAGTAAAATCAATGTTTCTACAAAGTAAACAATGTAAAAATGCATACAAACTCTGGAGAGTCTCAAGGCACAATCCCATCATCTCTCTCTCTCTCTCTTATAATTCCCTGCAGCAACAGCAAGCTTCCTTACTTTTTCTGAGTTTCTCCAGACTTGACTCTGACCCTCTGGATGGCAACCTCTGGCGTGCTCCACCAATCTTTCAGGTTAAATATAGAGTCTTTTTTCCATTCCAGCCTGACAATGAGTAGGTCTCCAATATCCACTGCAGTGTATATCAGAAAGGAAAAGGTTTGGTTTGTGGAGACCTCAGGCCTGTGAAAACAAATAAAACTTTAGCTTTGGGCCTTGCTTCTTTGAAATCATACAAAAGTTCCATTATCTCCCTTTAGCATATTCTTGGTTATTTCTTCTTTGTCAACGGATATGAAAAAAAACTAAGGCTAGCTAACAGAATATAGTGTGTATCTTTCCAAACACGTGTCGGAGAAGCCACATGTGTCACCAGTCACCAATTCTACCCTGTGCCTTTGTTCAGACATAACGTAAAACCAGGGTTGGTTTGTGAAATTATGATTTGGCTTGAAAAGAATCGCCTTTGCCTTTCACTTTGCTTCCCCCTGAGAAACACAGCTGGTATCTTAGCCAGACAGAGGTAAGAAAGACAGCCAGATGGCCAGGTTTGTACATTGATCAAAACCATTGTTAAGACTTCCCGTGGTCAACAAACCACCAACAAACCATGGCTTCAGATCATGGTCTGATGCAGGGCTTTTTTTGTAGAAAAAGCCCAGCAGGAACTCATTAGCATAATAGGCCACACCCAATAGCAGAAACTCATTAGCATATTGGGCCACACCCACATGTTACCAGAAGTGTGGTCATCCAGCCACACCCACCTTTTGCTTCTTGTTCTGTTTACCTTGTTTGTTGTCAAAACCCAGGGCTTTTTTGTAGCAGGAACTTCTTTGCATGTTAGGCCACACACCCCTAATTTAGCCAAACCTAATGAGTCTCTGCTATTGAGTGTGGCCTATTATGCTAATGAGTTCCTGCTGGGTGTGGCCAACTCAGGAGCCAGCCGGAACTCCGTTCCTGTGTGTTCCTGCCCAAAAATAGCCCTGGATGTATCCTATTTTCCCATAGTTAGTGAGGTTGCCTGCATTCAGGTGATCACACAAACCATTAAACAAGTCAGGATTTTGTGTACAATGTCCAAACTGAGCTAATGTGTTAACCATGGTTTCACGTGATATACAAATGTAGACATCTTGGCTTGTTCCTGACTCTGCCCTTGCCGCAAAGCAAACTGGGATACCAGCTGGGAGCTCCGCAGGAGAAGAGCAAAGGCAACGAAACTGGCAATTATCAAGGCAAAGCAGCATTTGAATGACTGCCTATGAACTGAATCTTGGTTTTTCAAATTAATAATACTTTAAACAAAATAGAAATTCACACACACTTTAATATCTCTGATGACTAACATTTTTATCTCAATTGGATGTTGGGGCAATCAGCCCTCTCAGGATGGAGACGTTTATGGAGGATTTGGAACCCAGCCATGAAAAGTCAAAACTACTGGTGGTCTACCAGTCCTGAAGGCATAATATGATGACCTCATAAACTAAATTCTTCCACCACCACCCCTCAATAAGAATAAATAAATAAATTGGGGGATATGAAGCATGGACGGCTTCAAAAGGGAATTAGATAAGCATATGGAGCAGAGGTCCATCAGTGGCTATTAGCCACAAGGTATAGATAGGGGCTCTGGGGCAAGTGATGCTCTGTCTTCTTGGTGCTTGGGGGGGGCAACAGTGGGAGGGCTTCTAATGTCCTGGCCCCACTGGTGGACCTCCTGATGGCACCTGGTATTTCTGACCACTGTGTGATACAGAGTGTTGGACTGGATGGGCCTTTGGCCTGATCCAACATTGGCATCTCTTACGTTCTTATGTTCTTATATTTCCCCACACAAAAAGAGTGACACACGATAAGACCCTTGATACTAATTTGCTGTTACCCAATCCACAATTCTCACACAAGGAAGGGCCTCCAAACAATTCTAAACTTTTGTTATAATACCTGATTGTCTTACTGGTGATTACTTCTTGACCTTGTTTATTTAACTAAAGGGGGAGGAGCCTGGCTTGTGCATTTCTCCTCACTTGGAAGTGCAATAACAAGGACTGCACAACTCTCACATTCTTCTTTCTTTGGTCCTTTGGTATATCATGTGCAAAGCCTATGTGAGGACCTTGCAAAAAAAATTCTCCCCTCATCACAATTTAGGAAGGCAAACTGGTGTCTATATTGCCATCTTTTCCAATGAAGTATGTAGAAGTAAGCTCCTAATTCTGTTCCCAAAGGCCACACCTCTCCAAGTAAAGAAGCAGCTTCCACACATGTGTCATTCTTAATCTTCAATCCAAAAGTAAGAAAGTTACTCTGAACACCGGCAACTTCTGACTAGGATGAACCACAACTTGGAGGAAAATGCTAAAATCTCACTGAGTTTTATTTTAAAATTTTAAATTGGATTTGTTCCTCCTAGGTTCCAGACGATTAAATTCTTCTGCCAAATAATACAAAGATATTTGCTTATGCCGATACTCACAGCGTGACTGGCATGTCCTTGCTTTCCCCCTCGGTGCCATACAGAGAGATAAGGAAGTCCTGGTTTGTCTTAGTCATGTTTTCCTTAGCAAAAAAATGAATCTTCACTTGGTAGTGAAAGACTGAGTGCAGAAAAGGATGGAGAGGGAGCAGACACACAAAGAGAGAAAGACGGACAGAATTATTGGCAGTGCTTACAAAGAGATAAAGAAATCTAGCCACTTTAAAAGGTTCGACATCCATCTACTAGCCTTATTCAGGCAGACTAATACTTTTGCACGGAAGTCCATCAGTTGTGAAGTATCAGCCAATATAAACAAATCCATTATACAGTTTAACCAAAGACAGCAGACCTGAATTATACTCCAATCTTATACTCTAAGCAGGTTCTCTGGAGAGGCTACATATACATTTCCTAAATAAATTTTAAATACATGCTTAACAGTATTTTCACTTTATCTTGTTTATCTCCCCAACAGGAACCCCAGTAGCATAAACATCACCCTCCCATTGTATCTTCACAACAACAAACCTGTGAGGTAGGCTAAGCTATGAGAGAGCGACTGACCTATGGTCCTCCAGCAAGCTTCCATGGCAAAACGGGGATATGAACCTGAGTCTCACAGTCCAACACTCTAACCACAACATCACACTTGCTCTTGTACTGGGAGGGAGTTATTGACTGACCTATGGTCCTCCAGCAAACTTCCATGGCAAAACGGGGATCTGAACCTGAGTCTCCCAGTCCAACACTCTAACCACATCACACTTGCTCTTGTACTGGGAGGGAGTTATAATGTCATGTTCTGTGATGTGTCACAGAGGTGATAAGAGTCAGTATCCCCCAGTCCAGGTACTTAATTTGCTAGCGAAACGAGTCTTAGGTATGCTAGGTTAGTTAACAGAATTGTATTGCAGTAGATGGTATTTGGGGTGCTCTCATAATGGTCGTCTCTCAAGCTGGTTTCATGAACAGATTTGGCACAATTATGTCCTTTTTTTTTGTCTCTCCACAACTTATTACAAATGCAGGACTGAAGAGGCCATTTCCAGCAATTTGCTTACTCAATCCAGTGCCACCAAAGAATATCCACACAGCAGCTTTTTGGAGGCAAAGTTTTGTAAACTGTGTTTCCAGAATGGACTTTCCTGCACACATGCAAATCAGACCGCCACGTATGTAAACAAAACTTCAGCATGCCAGACTCATTTCCTTGGTATTACCATCTGAAATACACTGGACTGCTCTGTAGACACTTCTCTTTTTCCTTAATCAAGCCTTTCCTGATGCTTGTTGCGCATCCTCACCCAAGGCTCAGAGTGGCACAACACTGATTATAACGTGAAAGCACATTATTGAATTTCTTCCTCTATTAGCACTGAGAATTTTTTTATTTCAAGTAAACGTTTATCTCCCATGTGTTTGTCACTTAAACTGCCTCTCTAACTATACCTAGCTTTTGAAACTAGGGTTGCCAATGGCTGCTTGGAAAATTCCTAGAGATGGGGGGGAAGGGCAGTGCCTGGGGAGGATGGAGCTTGGGAGGAGGAGCTCGGCAGGGACGTGATGCCAAAGCATGCCCTCCAAAGCTGCCATTTTCTCCAGGGGAGCTGGCCTCTTTAGCCTGGAGATCAGCTGTAATTCCAGAATTCCAGGCCACACCTGGAAGTTGGGAACCTTATTTGCAGGGCTATTTTTGGGCAGGAACGCGCAGGAACTGAGTTCCGGCTGGCTCTTGAGTTGGCCACACCCAGCAGGAACTCATTAGCATAATAGGCCACACCCCACAGCAGAAACTCATTAGGATTGGCTACATTAGAGGTGTGTGGCCTAACATTCAAAGGAGTTCCTGCTACAAAAAAAGGCCCAGGGTTTTGACAGCAAACAAGGTAAACAGAATAAGGAGCAAACGGTGGGTGTGGCTGGATGACCACACTTCTGGTAACATCGGGGTGCGGCCTAATATGCTAATGAGCTGTGCTATCAGGGGTGTGGCCTAATATGCTATTGAGTTTCTGCTGTTGGGTGTGACCTATTATGCTAATGAGTTTCTGCTGGGCTTTTTCTACAAAAAAACCCTGCTTATTTGGAAATCAAAAGCTTTCTTAGGGGTGGGGTGGGAAGGGTACGATTCAGCTGGAAGACCTCCTTGTACAAGCTACTTTAATACGAATGAGATCCATGCAAAAATACTCCCACGCTTTTCTAAAAATGCCTATTCATTTCACAAGTCGCTTGTGCTCAAAGCCAACTGTGTCCTCCATGTTATAAAAATGAAATAGTCTTTGCTGATATTTTTGAATACATCGCCAAGTTGCCGTTTTCATTATCCAGCCATCTTCTTACCTTTGTAAGGTGCCCTCTCCCCTGTCTTCAGGTACATTGTGGCTGACCTCTTGGTTCTCACTTTGTTGACTTTGTAGCCCAGGTTGTTGCAGCGGTTCTTTCTGCAGCTCAAGCAGAGCCCCTTTTCAAATGCTTCTTTGGACTTGCAGCGGTAGGCCATGATTGGTTTCTCTTCGTGCATGAGGGAATCGATGAAGAGGTGGATGGAGCGTTCGTGAGAGCATTTCAGCAGCTGATCCGCCTCTTTGAAGAAGAGGAAACAGTAGGTTTACATTTCCCAACATAGGGCTGCAGTTCAGTACTGGCAGTGTATTTAAGGAAGGGGTTTCTTCTTTTAGCAAGTCCAGTTTTCATGCCAAACTAAGCATTTTAATGGGGTAGAACAGTTGCCTGAAAAACACCTTGTTTGGGAGACTGTAATCTTACTCGGCACCATTGGGATGGAGCTGGCCACTCCGCTCAGAAAACTCTGAAGCCGCCCTGACCTAGATAGCCCAGGGAAGCCCAACCTCATCAGATCTCAGAAGCTAAGCAGGGTTGACTCTGGCAAGTCTTTGGATGGGAGACCTCCTTGGAATACCAGAGCCGGGAGGCAGGGGCAGGTTTTATTCAGCCACCTGTCTGAATATCCTCCTGGCCCCCAGAAGGGGGTCACCAGAGGCCGTCATGACTTCCAGGTACACACACACACATCCACATAAAAATAAACAGGAAAAGAAGAAAAAGAAAACTCTGAAGCCTTCCTCCAGCCTTCACAATCTTGTGGAGGAGCCACTTAAGTTGGAGAAAGGGCTCCCTTAGGCCAGAAGAGGTTATCCAAGGTTGCTAAGCACAGCAGCTGGATCCAACCCTACTGCTTCCCCCTGGCTGCTGGGGCTTCCTCCATATTCTCCTGACTGGCCCACAGAGTCAAATGTGTGATCCACCCTGACCTACACAGTGAATGGGATGTTGTCTTAACAGTATGTAATCAGTTAGGTCCGGCTACATGACATCACAGAGGATCACTGAAGGCAATGAAAACAAATTAGCAAACATTTCAAAGTACAGAAAGAAGGACGTCTTTTGGCAATGTGAGAAACTGGACGTCAGAGAGGGCTGTCAGCCTCTAGGTGGGGCCTGGGGAATCCCAGAGCTACAGGCTACAGAGATTTCCAGGGGCGCTTTCACACATGCTTAATAATGCCATTTCAATCTACTTCAGCGACCATTTGCAAGTGGATTCTGCCATTTCACACAGTAAAATCCAGCTGCAAAGGGCACTGAAAGTGTGTTATTTAGTGTGTGTGAAAGCATCCCCAGACTACAGAGGTCCCCTGGAGAAAATGGCTGTTTTGGAGGGAAATTCTATTTAGATCAGCTCTAATTTAAGGATACATATGGCTACCTACTACAAAGAAAAATGTATGAACTATAACTGGCACAAATACCAAAGTAAATTATCAACTTGTATACGGCCCTCAGTTTGGAAGACCTGAACAAGGCTGTTAACGACAGGACATTATGGAGGTAATTAATTCATAGGGTTGCCATAAGTTGGAAGAGACTTGATGGCACTTAACATACCATATTTTACCCCAGGGCCCACAACCCACTGAACATTCACAGAAAAAAAATATTATTTATTTGTTTATGATGCGTAAGAGGGAAAAAGTGATGGATTGCTGATTGTCTTTTAGTTGCAAAATACGGCAAGTTCCTATTTGCAACTGACATGTTGGAGATATGTGAGTCTAGTGCATAGCACCTCTGGAAACACAGTGTGATGCACCTTAGTTTGAAGATATTAATGGCTACATGACCTCACAGAGGGCAACCGTAAGCAAGGGCAAGTGAAGGCAATGAAAAGAAATCAGCACACATTTATGACATTATTGTTGTTGTTTAATCCAGTGTTCTTTCCAAAGGGCTGTAAATTAGCTGAGAAACCAAAGATATTCAGGTCAGCTCGGAATCAGCGTGAACAGAAATTTTTATACACAGTGGATTCAAAGCAGAAAAGAAAAAAACTGTTCTGCTTTTGTAAAGCATCTAAAATGGAGAAATAATTTTCGGTAGAGCACATGTAATTTAGAAAACAGAAGCGGCCACCAGATTTCAATTATATTTATGCCATTCAGACATGAAAAATTACCTTGAAACCCTTGAAACCCCTTTTCTGCAAGCCTCCGCAGTGTTTCTGTTACTTTACAACCTGGTTGGAAGCTACCTCCATTAGGGTAGATGTCAATGTGCCCCACAGGCTTCTGTATCCCAATGCTGCGGTCTGGAGACCCCCTGGTATAAGTGTGCACGACATCTACAAAGGCAGCATCATCTGGTGAAAGGCGTCTGGTTTCATTGGCATATTCAAAGTTAGGTCCTGCAGGATCTAAACCTTTATGGGAAGATGGGGGCAGAAAATAAAACGATGTTACCAGTGCTTAGAAGCTGATTCTATACACTATTGATCATTTGTTTACTTAAATATTTATACTACACTTTTCCTTTGTGGTTCATGGTGGCTTAAAATTCCAAATTTAAAAATAATATCAAGTACCATAAAAGCTCAACCACCCCCTCCCCAAAATCGTGGCAGCCTACACCCCCATTAAAAGCTTTAGTGAATGAAATGGCCTCTCAGTAGCTCCTAATATCTCATGATGGTGCCTTCCTCAGCTCCTACTGAAAAAGTATAGGCTCTGATAGATGCCACCTGGGTTATCTTAAGCAGGAGAACCACCCATAGGGGGCCATCTGAGGACCACGGTCGACATAAGAGAAGCCAATGTTGGATCAGGCCAATGGCCCAGCTATCCAACACTCTGTCACACAGTGGCCAAAAATACCAGGTGCCATCAGAAGGTCCACCAGTGGGGTCAAAACACTAGAAGCCCTCCCACTGTTGCCCCCCTCCGAAGCACCAAGAATACAGAGCATCACTTGCCCCAGACCAAGACTTCCTATCTATACCTTGTGGCTAATAGCCACTGATGGACCTCTGCTCCATCTGGGGAAGGATGGCTCTTCAGATGTGTAGGCCCATGAAGGGCTTTAACAGTCACCTTGAACTGAATTAAAAAACAAAATGGCTGCCAATGTAGCTGTTTTAAAATAGGTGAGATCATCCTTCCTGTTTCTTCCTGTTGGTTAGCCATTAAAAATAACAGTGCTGCCTATAATCACAAGTGATTATTAAAAGCACAGCCAATACTCCATTAAAGTCAATGGCAAAACTTTCCCATTTATATTTATGAATTTTTACTGAATGTATCTCTTAATAGATAACTGTAAGTAAACCTGAAAGCTAGTGTTTATCACATTCTTAACTCACATGGAAATCCATGGAACATTGAACTACTTTGCTTACAAAAACTGGCCAGCAAATACAACTGGGAATTAGTGTGGTAGGTTTATCAAAGCTATACTTGCATGAAAAATTCGCTGAAGCAGTGGACTAGAGAGATTTCTCTACATTTAGGCCAAGGAGAAACAAATGGCTTAAAGCATTAAAATCAAAGTTTCTCACACAAACCTACAAAAGTTACAAAACCAAGAAATAATGACACAAAATGCATAATCGCTGGAACAAAAAGCAGACCACAAACAGGTAATCAAAATGGTTCATAACAGTTTTTTAAATCTTTAATCTTTTTTCTCAAATGTCAAGTAGCTCTTAGAGTTATAAAAGATTCAATTTCCAGCATTTGTACATGCTCTGCATAATTGTTTTCTGAAGGCCCCTGATTCCTAAGATGTCATTAAGTTCCTAAATGACAAATACCCATCTGAAATAAAAGTTCAGAATTGCCATCCATTTTTTGCATCTATTTTTGCTTATGCTGTGTACCAGAACTTAATTTTACACAAAATGCAATCCTCAAGCCACACAGTGGGGAAAAAAGATTATTCAAACCAAGGCGTTCAGGATTTTTTTTTTAAGTATAGCTCTTCAAAACAGAACACTTCCACAGCATCCTGCATTAACAACACAGGCTGGGAGGCACACTTTATCCTCTGTGCCATTATAAGGCAATTGCCAGTACAGTTCGTTCCACTCTAGATTCTTGTTAGGAAAAAGATGTAACAATTAGGGATGCCAGCCTCCAGGTGGGACCTGGGGACCCAATAGAATTATAGCTCATCTCCAGTCTGGAGGAAATTGGTGCTTTGGAGGGTGGACTCTATGGCATTGTTTCCTACTGAGGTCCCTTGTCCTCCCTGGCTCCACCCTCCAGGAGCTTCCCAACCTGGATCAGGCAACCCTATCCCCCCTCCATCTCCCACCAGTGGCCTGGGGGGACCTGGCAACCCTATGCAACACGGAATCATGGCTCCTATCTCCCTATCCCAATGGCGTCGGGATTTGTTTACCAGTAATTCTGCTGATCTTCTTATTGGCCAATTTTCCAGCAATACCAGCAACATGAGCGCCGAGGCTGTATCCCAGCAAATGGACATTGCTCAGGGAGTAGGCAAATTGCTCCTGTGAATGAGCATTTTTAAATTTATTTTAATCTCCACAAGTAGTTTCAATTTCACATGCCATAAAATAGCTAAACCTTGATTTACAAAGTTTGTGTTAGATCAAAAATGAGACGCAAGTGAACTTACTACACATCCACTCAACTTATATATATATATATATATATATACTAGAAATAAGGCCCGTTGTGGAAATAAATACAACAAGATCTAGAAAGAGGCTCTGGGAGAGTGCTCTGGCTTTGGGCAAACAGTGTTAGTCTGCTTTTAAAACATGAACCTGGGACCTGCACACCACCAGAATACAGCAGGTTCCATATGCAACTGACATTCCAACTGCCTTGAGGGGGGGGGGAGTTTGAGGTGTGGAATGGAGTGAAGTCCAATCAGCTTCCATATGCAAAAGACCAGGTTGTCGCAGCAGTTGTGGTGTGGGCGGGACCCGGGCTTTGCCTTCTGATTGGTGGCGATATATGCTGAGGAGCAGTGCCATCAGCCATACACTAAGGGAGTGCATTTTAGAATTAGAACTTTGGCACCCACTATTCAATTATATATAAGGAGAGAGGAGAGATGAGCACACGCACACACATAATATCACAGAAACTAAAGCAGCAGGGTTCAGAAAGAGCTGCGTTATGTGATTGTGCCAATTCTCCAGTATACATATTCCACGGAACAAAATTATGCGTCCTACCTCTGTAACTCTGTTAATTGTGCACTGCGCATTGTTTCTTTATGATGCTTACCTCTATCCAGTTAACAAACTTGGCAACATCCTTCCCCACCAGCTCTGTGTTACTAGCTGATATTGTATAGTGTTGGCTTGCTCGATCTAGCCAGTCAACAATGATGACATTAGAGTCCGGCTCCGTTTTATACAGCGCCTTCACTAGCTTGGCTATCCAGCTCTCGTACAAAGGAATTACCTTCAAGAAAGGAGAATAAACCATATTGTTCTGTCCACGCCAAGGATGAAAATGAATAGACAAGGTACATATACACAGATCAGGGCCAACTTTAACGAAGTTTCTAAATGGAAACACTGCTGAACAGCCGACATGACTGAGATATAGTAGGGCTTTAATGATCACTACCTATGTGTGGTTATTATGTTGAGTGAACAATGGGCAATGTGCAGATTTACCATGCACGTACAGCTTTTCCAGGGTTCTCATTCATGTGTATCAAGGCTATACACCTTGGGTAAATACAACTATTACCCCGCTCACATAACATGGCAACTGAACATACTGGAAGAATTTCCCGTAGCATGTGCTCCCATTACTTGAAGTTGGTTAGCTCCCCGCATACATGGTTATAATGTCTCAAAAGCCTAGCAGTATAGCATAGTAGCATTCCGGCAACATTCAAGTTCACAGGATACAGACTTTGCAATGGTTATGAAACACCTGTTTCATAAGGCTTCTTCAGAGCAGAACACACGTAAGACTCAGTGAATCCTTTCCTACTCAGCATTCATCTCTGCATGCTGTCTCTCTGCATAATGCTCACTCTCAGTGAAATCTTCTCTTATTCCACTTTCTCTCTGTATGCTTTCTCTCAAAGCTGTAGGGTTGGCTTCTAGCATAAAGAGCTTTTAATAAACATCTGGAGCCATGTTCATGAAGGAAACAGCTATTGGTAACTAATAGCCATTGGATAGACCTACATTTTACCCACAGCTGGCTGTTTGTACATGTTCATGAAGGAAACAGCTATTGGTGACTAATAGCCTACATTTTACCCACAGCTGGCTGTTTGTCATTCTGCCTCTATCTTTCCTTTCCAGAGGAGCTTAAAATCTGAGCCATGTCACCACCTGCCAGGGGCTAGGAGCATCCACAGAAGAACCATTTTTGAAGGCCAGCCCTTGAGTTCATCTGCAGCTATATCTGTCGCCTCCCTTTGGAGGGAAGAACCTGAAACCTGGACTCAACATCAGTTGCCAAGGGCCAGGAGAGAATGAACGTACAACCATCACCTATCCCTAATATCTTACATGGACTGTTATCGCTCTAAACCTCTTGGGGAGTCAATCTTGCCTGGGAAATGTGATATAAGCAGAACAAATGGAAACTACCTCCAAAGGCAACATATGCTGGAAACAAACAAAAAAGAATTACCATTTCCTTGCCTGTGAACTTTTGGGGGTATCTGGCTAATGACACTGGGCTGGACCAAATGGCCCTTTGAAATGATTCCACAAAACCAATTTTTATTTGGCTGGACAGATGGTGAAAACAGTAATTTTAAAAAGAACTTTAAATCAAAGATCACAATTGTTCTACAGAGCAAAAGGAAGTATGGTTTATTTTTATAAAAAGTGCCAAAAGGCACAGACAATGCCAGGCATTTCTCACACACACGCACACCCCACCAGCCAGAAACACATCTCATCACAAAGATTCAGAGTAAGAAAAGTAATTATGCAGCAATAATTAGGCAGCAGAATGGTCAGGCCATTCTGGGAGCTACTACTGAAGTAACCGGAGAACTACCCTATCCTCTCACCGTCCATCCATGGATCACCACAAAGGTTTTACTTGAATGGTTGAAGCGGCATTGTGTCATGCTATTTTCTTGCCCAGGAACTAAGAAGCAGGTATCTTCATAAGGCTGTTCAGGTTTCCTTAAAGAAAATTTGCTCTCAATGCCACTGAAGTCTCTCTCTTCTCCTGTAGTATCTCCTGAAGTGAAGACAGAATATTAACCATGAAAACTAAAATAGCTTGAAAGAAAAGAAACATAGGACTAGCACACTATTCGCTGGCATTATACCCACAGAATTATAGCTGAGGTCAAAAACTAGCCTTTTGGATGGGTAGTTAGAAGGGTGTGGGGCTACCTTCCCATCCCCCCTGGATTGCTGTGTCCCATGCGCATAACTATTGATTATTTGACACACTCTTTATGCTTCTGAATTGGCAACAAGAGTGCTGTGGTAGCACCCTTAACATCTGGGCTGAGGCCAGCAACCATCTTAATGTATAAGAACAACAAAAGCAAAAGATCTAAGCATACAAATGAATGGGCTGACTACCAAAGTATGTGTTGCAATGGTTATAGCAGTGATCCCCCTATTTGGTGCCCAAAAGGTGCCGTGGTGGCTTCTCTGGTGTATTTGGCGCCCACTAGCTTGTTCTCCAAAGCATCTCTTCCCCATAGCAAAGAACCAATCCCAGCTTTTCTCCACCTCATTTGAGCAGGAAGTGCTTCAAAAGAGCCTGTGAGACCCTGTCTTTGTGCCTACCAGCAGTAACCATTCAGAAACAACTGCTTCCATGACAGACATTTTGTGACACCCCACTACCTATTCTCAAAAAGTTGGGGACCACTGCCATAGACAGGCTACCTACTGACTTGAAGCAAGTTATAAAGAATGTTCATGATTCATATAAACTAAGAGAATATGCTGAGATGTATCTGTAGCTTGGTGAGATGCAGGAAAGGGGAGGGGAGGGGAAGACACCTAGGTGCAAAGGAGTGTTCTGTACAGTTAACAGTTGTGTAGAAGAGGGAATTGGCATAGATGTAGCCAGGAGTGGCCGCTTCATGTGTGCATATCTCCACTGGATGCAATGCTCATTGTCTCAGACCCTCCCACAATCCTACATAAGAGACAGCAGTGATCCGACAAACTTGGACTTTTCCCAAGTCCCAGGTAAAGAATACATAGCTAAACAGATGCACGGAATTGAGAATTCAAAGCTCCCTGTGGGTTTTTTCCCCCTCCTGAAGATGATATTGAAACCATACTCCCTCTCCCCCTTTAGACCACGCATGTCCCGATTCCACCGTTCTCAGTGTTTGCCTTGGTGACATCTAGTTCTATCATTCTTGCTATGTTTTGATGAGTAGTGATGCCATTAATTATAATGGCATTTAGAGTAATAGGCTCCACTCCTGCTGAGTTCCAGCCCAGTGCCCTTTTGACTGCTTGATAAAAGGCAAAGAGCTGGAACATGAATTAAACATCTTGTGCTTGGAGAGAACTTGGTTAGGCCACCAATACGACATAAACCGCAAATGGCATACACACCTTTTGTGATTTATCCCATCTCCCATGGCAGCCATTTTGCAGTGATGCCCACTACCTGTTCTCAAATTTTCAAAAAAGTCCCCATAGGCTCAACAAGGTTGGGGACCACCAGGCAATGTTCCCTCTAAGCTATGGAGTCTTGTGCGCAAAAATTCTACTTTGTGAGCTACTGGCATTAAAGTTGTGAGCAAGCGATTTGGCTACTGCATAAATTAGTTTGCTCTGGAGCCATTCTTTCTGAGCTAAGACAAAAATGTGTGAGCTGGAGGCTAAAAAACTGTGAGCTAGCTCACACTAACTCAACTTAGAGGGAACACTGCCAGCAGGTAACAGTGTGGGACTGGGACCAGAGAAACCAGAGTATAAATCCTCACTCAGTCATGATGAAGCACAGTGAGGACTTTGGGCTCCTCACCACCTCTTGGCCTAATTTACCTCACCCCCACACTCAATCCTGATTTAATCCCATCAAAATCTGCAAGCTTAGAGCATGTCATTATTGTTAGACTGTACATAAAGGTACAATCTAACAATAACATGCTCTGAGCTTGCTGATTTTGGTAATAGGAACATCAACAAGAGTCCTATTTTTTTGCACTGAAGACCACACAAGGAAAAATTTGCTGTAACATGTTCAAAATACGAGGAACATTGTTAGGGTGTAACAAAAAAACCCCCAACAAATCCTGAAACCATGAGATCTGAAGGGTTTTTAACAAAATCCAGCACCACAGAAGCACTTCAGAAGAACGAGAAGAATGCTCATGCCCGATACATATTTCTGATGGAACACATTTTAATTCTAACCAAGGACAAATTTCATTTCAGGAGAAAATCAAGGTTGTCTGCATAATTATTAGCTTTTTATGATGCTTGGTCATACATGCTGCATTGCTTTCTTCAAGAGTAGCACTTTGTCGTCCCCCCCATACAAGTGAAAGACAGACAGTCACCTATAGGGGATAAAGGCATGCCCTCAGACACCATTGACGCGGATGAACCAGAACTAAGACAGTTCCACCCCTTCACCTGTGTCTCTCCACCTCATTCCTCCTCTCCCACCCACCCCCATGAGTTCTATTTCTTGCCATGACCCGGAATTCAGTGAGAAATGGGTTTTGTACATATAAAGTAAAATGACCTTGTGATTGGTTTACTTTAGTAAATTACGTGAAACGATTACACTAACAAGCACAGTTAGAAGTGCATTGTACTCTTTGGTGCAGGTATCTAGAGGCAGCTAAATGTTCTAACTTAAGTGCCTGATGTAATCACAGATGTATGCTTTATTCTTTGCTCAATAGGAAAGGCCATGAGCGGCTATAACTAACTCAGACCTTACTCTCCACCTATTAAATATTTATTCGCTTTTTCGTCACACAGTGAAAAGTCAACATGGTTGTGTTGTTTGTCTAATTGTGGACTCAACTCTTTTCCATCAGCATTTCGCAATGTTCTGGGAATCTGTTTGCAAACTAGTCTTCAGAATCAGCAGATGGTGTGGGAGGGAGAGTACAGTCTTTGCATACAGTTGATTATTTTTTTATACAAGATTCGAAGGATATGGGATATTATCTTTGGTACCATCCTTCCGTTTAGTGTAAGGTATGTACATAACCCACTGCATCAACAGACCTGTAAATCCACTGAACTTGGAAGCATTAAGTTGGTATTAAGTCAGGCTGCCACTCAGTCTAACTAATGTAAGAAAGCCTCTAGCCCCAACAGATAGTTCTATTATATGGTGAGTCTTAATTGCGAAGAAGACAACAACGCAAGGGTGGGGGGAGACATTTCTGTTTAAAAGTCAATCCTGGCAATGTTTACAAGATAAATCTGGCACTCAAGACTGTATTCTCTTGTTTGAAATCAATAGAATTTTGGCTCTCACTGACTTAGGTGCAAAGGTGCCAACTGGGTTAAGAGGTATGCACGGAAAGCGGGCAGAAGGAAGCAATTAAACTCAGTTATTTTCACAGAAAGGAGTCTCAGATGTCAGAAGCAACTACTGCTTCCCCGCCTCTGAAGGGAAGTATTTCACGGAGGCCAGGTTCAGACACATCATATCATGCATTTATTAGGTCTAGCTCTAAATATATAATGAAGCTGATCGCCAATAGATTTAGGATGGACAAAAAGAACTTCTTTACTCAACAGAGTGATTAAAATGTGGAATTTGGTATCAAAGCATGTATAGAATCAGAGTCAGAAGGTACCTCCAGGGTCATCTAGTCCAGCCACCTGCACAATGCAGGAAATTCACAACTATTTGGTGATAGCCGCAATCATAGATGTCTCTAAAAGGCAATTGGATAAATTGATGGAGGGATAGGTCCTACTACTAGCCAAGGTGACTAATGGGAACCTCCATGTTCAAAGGCAGTAAACCTCTGAATACCAGGCAACACTGCGGGAAGGCCTTGGCCTCTATACCCTTCGGTTGGCCTTCCAGAATTCCTGCTTGGCCACTGTATGAGACAGGATGCTGAACTCGATGGACCACTATAATCTGATCCAACAAGGCTCTTCTGATACGTGTGTTGCCATATATATGAAATGTTCCATTTGTTTATTTTTGCATTCTATCTTTTGCACCATTATGTCCACCGCCCACTTTATAAAACTCCTTTCCAAGAAGTATACATTTATTCCTACACTTTGTACATCCCCAATTGTCAGCTGTAGGCTTTTTTGTTCCAGCAAACATTTTCAGGCTGAAGCTGTTAAATTACGCATTAGCATGTTTATATTCCTGGTTTTTTTAATGGTATTTTATTGCCTTCATCTGAACTCGGTGGCAACTTTTATTCTGGTCAGTTTGAATGATGACTTAGAGTACAGTTGCAACACAAAAATACTGTAAACAAATAAAATGTTCTCAATTCATTGCCAACTTTTAGGAAACATCATTGAAATTATACCCGAATGGAGTGTGTGATACAAATATTTATTTTACGCATCAAGAAAAGAAAAGCTCTTGTGACTGAATAGGTTAAGTTAAACATTAACTCTTTGCTGATTCATCAGTGAAAGGAAAGATAAAGTTCTGAATGAAATAAAAGAAGCTTTCAACTACCACATGGAATATATAGAGGAAAGTTATAATAAAGACTTCTGGCCTTGGAAGGTGCCTGTTCCAAATAGGAAAACAAACAAGAAAACCACACTGGCATTTTATTCATACCCTTTTCCTTTACAGTATTTAGCTCCAATGTCTTAAAATTATTTAAGCAACATATAAGTGTTACTAGTCTGTGCCTAGCAATATAGCTTGATCTTTTCAATGCCTCAGTGTTTCCTATGAATAGCTGCTTGCTAGCTGAACATACACTTGCTCTTATGTGGAATTGTATAAGATTCTTATTAAGAATTCCATAGCGCCTTTGGATTTATCAAATGCTTTATAAATATCAGGCTGTTAAATTAAGATCCACAAACACACTGTGAACCAAGTGAACAGATTACTTTTTGGACTACATTTTGAACTGTCCTCTCTTTGTAACATTGCTGGAGAAGATTCTTGACAGTCCCCTGGACTGCAAGGAGATCAAATCAGTCAATCCTAAAAGAAATCAACCCTGACTGTTCCCTGGAAGGCCAGATACTGAGAGCTCAAATACTTTGGCCACCAAATGAGAAGGGAGCACT